TCGCTTGCCGCCTCCAGATTGCCTCGGTCGCTTGCTCGACGGCTGCGGCGGCGACGCGGCGGCGGCGGCGTCGCCGAGCCGCGTGGCGGCGCCGGGCCGCGAGTGGAGCCAGCTGAGCAGCTTGGCCGACAACAGCTCGCGAGACCCCCGGCCGCCCGACTTTTGCAGCTTGCCCGCCAGCCAGCTCTGCAGCGCCTGTGGTTAATTAATAGTTAGTTAGTCGTTAATTCGTGGTTAATTAATAGTTAATTAGCCGTTAATGAGCGCCGGCTGCGAGACGCCGGCCAGCGTCGCCACGCTGCCCATGGAGAGGGAGGAGGCCGCGATCTCGGCCTGCACGGCCTGCCTCACCGCAGCCTCCGGCGGCACCGCCGGCATCCTCCCCACGGACCCGCCCCCGCCCCCTCCTACGACCTTCTTTGGCGTCGACGCCTTCGCCTTTGGACCGCCGCCACCTCCTCCGCCGCCCTGGCCGCCGCCGCCGCCGCCGCCGTCTCCGTCGCCATGGGTCTCCTGCTCGCTGCTGTGCTCCGGCGCGGCGTCCTCCGGCGCGTCGTGCTCTCGCCTGGTGGAGACACTTGGTTGTCAATGAGGCGGTCGTATCAAAATTTTGAATGAATCGTCCGCTCTCGCCTGGTCAGCTCCGACAGCAGCGACGGCTGCCCTCGCGGCGCCTTGGCGCGCTCAGTGGACCAGTCAGGCAAACGCGCTGTGTGGGACTCCTTCACTCGCGGCGTCAAGGAACTGTCTAGGAAGTGTCTCTCCTGCCGCTCGACGACGTCTAGGAAGTGTCCAGGAAGTGTCTAGGAACGGTGTCTAGGAAATGTCTAGGAAGTGCCTCGGAAGTGTCCAGGAAGTGTCTAGGAACGGTCGCTGCGTCGCGCGGCGCCTTAGAGTGCCGCGGTGCGCCGGGGCTCGCAACGAGGGAGATGCCTAATGAATGGAAGGAGGGAAGGAATCAAGGAATGCAGATCAAGCCGAGGCCTCCGCCACGAGGCGGGGGATGCCATAGTCGCGGGTCGCGTTGTGTAGCGTCTCCCGCGACGCGCGCTCTTCCTGCAGATCGGAGAAGAGCAATGAGCAATCCCCTTCTCCCCCCTTCTCCCCCCTTCTCTCCCCATCTCTCCCCAACCTCTCCCCAATCTCTCCCCATCTCTCCCCGTCTCTCCCCGTCTCTCCCCGTCTCTCCCCATCTCTCCCCATCTCTCCCCACCCCTCCCCATATCTCCCCAGCTCTCCTCTCCTGCAGATCGGAGAGCATCATGATGCCGCCCTCCGCCTCATATCTCCCCATATCTCCCCAGATCTCCTCTCCTGCAGATCGGAGAGCATCATGATGCCGCCCTCCGCCTCATATCTCCCCATATCTCCCCAGATCTCCTCTCCTGCAGATCCGAGAGCATCATGATGCCGCCCTCCGCCTCATATCTCCCCATATCTCCCCAGATCTCCTCTCCTGCAGATCCGAGAGCATCATGATGCCGCCCTCCGCCTCATATCTCCCCATATCTCCCCAGATCTCCTCTCCTGCAGATCCGAGAGCATCATGATGCCGCCCTCCGCCTCATATCTCCCCATATCTCCCCAGATCTCCTCTCCTGCAGATCCGAGAGCATCATGATGCCGCCCTCCGCCTCATATCTCCCCATATCTCCCCTGATCTCCTCTCCTGCAGATCCGAGAGCATCATGATGCCGCCCTCCGCCTCATATCTCCCCATATCTCCCCAGATCTCCTCTCCTGCAGATCCGAGAGCATCATGATGCCTCCCTCTGCCGGGGCGGCGCCGCCGCCCGCCTCCTTCTCCTCCTTCTCCTTCTCGCGCACCACGGAGTCGAGAGGGAAGAAGTGCTGCTCGCTGCCGCCTGTGGCCAATCAAGAATGAATCGCAACCTTGCTGATTAATGGAGGGGAAAGAAGTGCTGCTCGCTGCCGCCTCCCGCGGCGTCTGGAAGCCGGTCGAGCTGCACCTATAAAAAAGAAACTCCGCTGCGAAAAAAGAAACCGAAACCCCGACGGCCGAGCTGCAACCGGTGCTAGTTGCGTTGAGTGGGTGTGGGTTGAAAACATGTGGGGTGGCGAAACCCGGCGATCGGCCGTAAATACGCGGCGCAAGGAGGGCCCACTGCCGCGCATCGGTTGGAGTGGTACGCGGCGCACCGGCGCTGAGTTGGCGGGCAGCAGCGCCGGAGACATGCCAACCACGACAGAGGGCAGGCAACCCGATGGCAGCAGAGCCGGCGACGGGAGGACGCCTATAGACACTTCCTAGACACTTCCGAGACACGTCCTTGTTCACAGCAGAGCCGGCGACGGGAGGACGCCTGGAGGGAGCGGCGCGGTGTGAAGAGAGGCGGCGGCCAGGAGGAGGGGTGGAAGGAGGGGAAGGAGGAGGAGTGAGTAGCGGCGGTGAGAGGAGAAGGAAGCGGGGAGGAAGGAGGGGAAGGAGGAGGAGTGAGTAGCGGCGGTGAGAGGAGAAGGAAGCGGGGAGCAGAGCTGCAGGGTGGGATTGTAATTCTATTCAGCAGGGCAGGATTGCCGATTCCGGCGCAGGCGGAGGCGAGCCAGGGCGAGGGGAGCTCGTCGCGCACTGCGGCGGTCGAGCCGCTCGACGAGTCGTCCGCCGCCTGCGGAGGGGAGGGGCGCCGTGTGAGGGTGAGGGAAGGAGCAAGGCGACGGACAGCACAGGGAGCGGGCGGCGGGCCGTGGGGAGAGAGAGAGAGCAATGGAGCAGGGACGAGGATGTGGCGTATCTGAGAAGCGGAGCGGCGGCTGGACTGCGCGGGAGGGGCGCAGCTCGCGCGAGGCCAGCAGCCGGAGGCGCGGCACATCACGCGCCTGCTGCAGCGGAGACGGCAGGCCGGAAGACACTGGATTCAGATCAGAGGCCGGCTTGGGCAAGCGCGAGCGGCCGGCAAAGGCGGGAGAGGCATCAGGCGGCGGTGGCATCGATTCTGAAGCGTGGCCGGCCGACGCCGGCCGCATCATGCAGCTCTGTTGAACCACGCCCAGGCCGCGCCGTCTTCGTCGACCGCGGTCGGAATTCTTTTCTTGGCGACTATCAAAGTCATCATCTGTCCCGCGTCCACCCATACCGCGTTGGTGTCCAGTCCGAGCCTGACTGTTGTTCATCTTTCTACATACATACATCAAAGTCCCGCGTCCACCCATACCGCGCTGGTGTCCAGTCCGAGCCTGACTGTTCTTCACCTTTCTACCTAACCTAACCTAATCAATGGCGACACCGTCATGCTCGCCGCACAACAGCAACCATTACGCGGCTGGCGGCGACCAGTCAGTTCGCAGCGCAGCTAGCAGAGGCGCGGGACCAGCACGGTCCCTTCTATGCCGCCACCCTACGACGAACTCCTCGAGGACATCACGGGCTATCGCGATTGATTCTGGAGATGTGATTCTGACTCGGTAGGGTGCCCACAGGACCCCCCAAAAGAAAGGAAACAAGAAATGGGCCACCCCCGATCGCAGCACTTAGGTCTTAGCTGTGCATCTATAGATGCTTGTGGCGTCTAAGATGGAACGCGCAACAAAAGACACGGCTTTATTTATTTATTTAATATGGTATCTTTGATTTGAGATGAAAAGTGCGTCCTAGAATGCGTTTTTTTGCATATTCTAGGATGCATCTCGGTAAACAAAGATGCCCCCCCCCCCCCCCCAGACGGACGCAGCGCTCCCCTTCTGCGCTCGGCGCTCACCCGTCACCGAAGAAAAACACGCCAACTGCGGCACAACAGGCTGCCCTGCACAAGGCTGCCTAGCACCACCTCACACACCCGACTGAGCCGCTCTCCCGCTTCGTCACTTCTTGCCCAGCTCGCGCGACCGTGCCGTCGCGGCGAGCACCGCGTTCATCACCGCCGCGCGCATCCCGCCCTGCTCCAGCGCGTGGACGCCCGTGATTGTCGTGCCGCCAGGGCTCGTCACCTGGACGGGCCAGAAACTGCTGAAAGCGAACTCTGGGGCGCCAGCCTGCGGCTGTGGCAAGGCTCGTCACCTGGTCCTTCAGCTCCCCCGGGTGCTTGCCTGTCTGCAGCACCATCGTCGCCGCGCCGCGAACGGTCTTCGCCGCGAGCGCCTAACCGAGATCACCCGAGATCACCCGAGATTACCCGAGATTAGGCGCCGCGAACGGTCTTCGCCGCGAGCGCCGTCGCGATCGGGCGGGTGAGGCCTGCGCGCACGCCTCCGTCGGAGAGGGCCTACTCTCGGGTGACTTCGGGCCATCTCGAGGTCGCGCAGCCGCACGCGACGAGCCGGCCGCAGCTGCCTCGATAAACTGAAAGACGTAGGCGGGGCCAGAGCCTGACAGTCCCGTCACCGCGTCCAGGTCGGCCTCCTTGACCTTGAACGCCGTGCCGAGAGCGCCGAGCAGAGAGCCGACCGTCGCCTGATTCTTAATCATTCATTGGTTACTTCATACGCCCGCCGCCCGCACCGCAGAGAGCTGACCGTCGCCGCGTCGGCGGCGGAGCACGCTGCGTTGGGGGCGTAGGCGGCGGCAAGCTCGCCGACGAGGCACGGCGTGTTTGGCATCACCCGCACCACGCGGGCGCTCGAGCCGAGCCACCCCTCGAGCGACTCGATCGTGACGCCCGCGGCGATCGAGACGACGAGAGGATTGGTGCCGGAGCCCTTGATGTCTGCACACACGTCCTCCACCATCTGCGGCTTGACGGCGAGGACGATGAGGTCGGCGAACAAGGCGACGTCCTTGTTCGAACCGCCCGACGTGATGCCCAGCTCCTCGGCCAGCCCATCGACGCACGGCTGATACGCGTCCGATGCAATCACGCAGTCGGCCGGACACGTCTTCGAGCTCACGAGGCCGCGGATCATCGCGCCGGCCATCATGCCGGCACCGATGAACCCCACCTTGACCGGTACCATCCCTTCGCTGCACAACACCATTCCTCGGCTGAGTTGGAGAAGGGACGGGCCGCGCAGCGACGGGGAGGCGTCGCGGCTCGTGGCCGCGGTGACGGAGGCGATCGGGCGCTCGGGGAGGGGGGGGCGGGGGGCGTGAATTTGTGTGTACGAGTGTTACCAAACATGAGGGGTGAGTGTTAGAGTTGTTTGGTATTGCTAAAAATATCTCTCGAGTGTTCCTCGAGGTCGTACATGTACAACCCCCTCTCTCTTTTCTCCCAGCAAGCTATAAGTACGTTCTCTCTCTCTTGAGCACTTGAGCACTGGATAGGGTCGATTCCGCGTGGTACGGGACCCCTCGATCGTCTCGCCCTCCCTCACTGGTCAGGTCGTATGGTACACCGGCGTCGGTGTGCATAAGCTCGGCTTTAGCCCCCAGGCGTGAGTGATGGGAGGAGGACAGGGTCCCACACTAGAGGGTCATCTCCTCCCGAGATGTGTCTTGATTTGCCAACAATATACCTAAGACCGAGAGGGCGTTCTAATCTAAGAAAAGAGAAAAAATCTTGTCACGCTTCCCATCAATCAAAGCTTCCCTCTTTGTGCCGCGTCCCGTGCCCCCGAGTTCATTTTATAAAATTCCCTCTGGCGGGTAAGGTGAAAACACGCAGGCCTTGGTGCTGCAGAAGCTAGGAAGGACCGCGGCGATGTGAGGTGTTGTCTACTCGTAGTTGTTAGAAGCATCTGGACTAGAGCGTCTGGATGGAAGTCCACAACGTGCACCTTTGCTCGTCCTCTAGCAATCTCCGCCGACCGCGAGGCCGGACTAGACCGTGTGTGGGGTCATGTGAGGTGTCTCTGGTCACTCTCCTCAGGGGCTAGCCGCCAGCGGCCAGCCCTATCTCGCACTCACGGTTGATGGACAATTCAATGTGTGAGTGTTTGCGAACAGAGGCACGTGTGCTAATTCTAGGCCGCACGTCGTGGCACTATGACGAAGGTAGACGTGCGGCTGCAGCGCGCAGTGCCAGTGCGCGCCAGTCCCGCGCCCAGTAGAGAGAGAGAGAGAGAGAGAGAGAGAGTGTGGAAGCTTCGATCCCAAGGGGGGGAGCCGAGCCCACTCATAACCAACTCTCAGGGGCAGTAGGTGGGCGAGCTTCAGGCACGCTCATCTCGATCGTCAAGACGTCGCTACGCGCGGTCTTCCGCGGGGGGAGCTGCGTCGACGGGTGCGGGACCGCGGCGCAGTCAGTGCCGTGGCGAGGCCTCCGGCTGTTTGCGGCGGGCGGCTTGCTGGTCGCTGCGATGGCGAAAAACTCGTCTCGCCACACGCCAAGGGCTTATGCTCTGGCGAGACGTGAGGCGCATGCGCCCAGGAGGGGAGGGGGCATGTGTAACGACACTGCTAGAGATGCCTTTCGGGGCCCAGAGATAAAACTTCTGTGATGCCATGCGTGACCTAGTAGTGTCCCCAGCTATGGGCGTGTCCACGTTGGAGCCAGGTGTGGTGTGGGCGCGAGAATAGCTCCGCCGTTCATGGAGGCAACCGATGCGAGTCGACTGGTGTGTGTCGTCGTGGTTTCGTATCAAGAATTCTCTCTCTCTCCGCGCCCAGTCCTGTGCCCAGTGAAGAAAGAAAGACTAAGAAAACAGACAACCCAAGGGAGGGATGGGAGGACGGCACGCCGCCACCACACAGGGATTTTCCCGTTTTTTTTCGAGAGGGTGAGTGAATTCTTTTTCACTATATATATATATGCCCTAAATTGCCGAGTGCTGGGAGACGCCGAGGCATTCAGCGAGGGCAAAAAAGGCGCGAGCCATGGGTTCGGTGGACGTGAGCGACGGTGGAATCTCCACGGCAATCGCCTCGGTTCGAGACGACGGCACCGATGACATGTACGCCATCCTGAAATACGACGGCAAGGCGAGCGCCGCCCGCCCGAGCAAAGCATCGCCTCTGCAGCCCTGTCTCTCGCCTCTGCCGCGATGGCGCTGCACGGCCGCCGCAACCGACCATCAACGCCTCCTTCTCAGGCGAAGCTCATCCTCCAAAAGACCGGAAGCGGCTCGATGGACGAGATGGCCGGTTCACTCTGCGATTCGCCGGCACAGTGTGTGCTGCTCGGGAGCCTTCTCGGAGGCGCCGCGGGGGCCGCCGTAGGCGAGCTGGATGACGGCGAGGTGCAGTACGTCCTGCTGCGCGTCGAGGGCGGCCGTGACCAGGAGTCCAAGGTGTGCCCATGCCTGCCCCGGCGTCTGCTTGCCTGCCGCTTGTTGCCGTCGCCGAGCCACTGAAGAAAACTGGCACACGCCCGCACTCGCACCAGCGCACCCCTCTGAAGCCCGTCCTCGCTGATTCGGTGCAGGCCGTCAAGTTTGTCTTCATCACGTGGGTGGGCGCGTCGGTGCAGTCAGCCCTCTCTGAGACACGACCGAGACATGACACGTCCGAGACACGTCCGCGACACGTCCGAAACACGTCCGAGACACTGCACCGCCGGGGCAGCGAAGAGCTAGAGTGGTCGGCTCCCGCAGTGCAGGCCGCCACGGGCTTGCTGGCGTGCGCAGACCTGCAGCCCAAACACTTCCGAGACACTTCCGAGACACTTCCGTGCTCCCACCCCTGGCCAGCTCCCAGGCGCTTGGAGAGGTTGCACGGTAGCTGGACGGCGGCACACAGCAGCATGGCGACGCCAAAGGTCGCACGCACACGGACCAGCTAGAGGACGGGCGGACATATCTCCCCATATCTCCCCATATCTCCCCAGCCAGAGGACGGCCGGACACGCAGAGGTCTGGCGAGTAGAGGCCCCGCCCACCCAGGGTACCCGCTCCGAGGACCCATTTGAGTCACTCGCCGCGGCTCGGCTCCTCGAGACCTCGAGAGAGCGTGCGTGTGCCTCTCTTCGCCAGGGCTGCGGCCGACCGTCGGGCAAGGCAAAAGAAGACACGCACTCGGCGACACCGCGGCCGCGGCAGCCCTGGCAGCGAGCCGCGCCAGTGCGTTCATGCCTGCTCTGGAGCACGGGCGACGGGGCACACGCGCACTCGCGGAGCACACACGGGGCATTGCAGTCAGGGAACCAGAGCTGTTGCCCGGCCGGCACAGGTGGGGAGGGGTGGCAGACGGCCCATACCCCATATCTCCCCATATCTCCCCATATCTCCCCATATCTCCACATATCTCCACATATCTCCACATATCTCCACGTACCTCCCCACATCTCCCCGTACCTCCCCATATCTCCCCATTTCTCCCGATATCTCCCGATATCTGCCCATATCTCCCCATATCTCCCCATATCTCCCCACATCTCCCCGTACCTCCCCATATCTCCCCATATCATCCCATATCTCCCCATATCTCCCCATATCTCCCCACATCTCCCCATATCTCCCCACATCTCCCCATATCTCCCCATATCTCCCCATATCTCCCCATATCTCCCCATACCCCCCCCCGCACAGGTGGGAGGGATGGCAAAGGGGCGTGTGGCTAGCCACAAGATGGCGGTCAAGGCGAGTTGCCTCGAGATGGAGCCGAGATGACCCGAGATGGGCCGAGATGTGGACTGGCTGACTAGCCGAGAGATGATGGCCGAGATGTGCAGCCGAGGTCTAGCCGAGGTCTAGCCGAGGTCTAGCCAAGGTCTAGCCGAGAGATAGCATTATTGATCAATTACTTAACAGCGGGACCCTGAGTATTGTAAACACACCGTGAGGCATATCGGTTCCCTGGGAGTTCACTAGCGCTCGCTTGCTCCATTAGGTAATTGCAATGCGCGCCTGGCGGGACACCTGCATTACTGATCCATGAATTACAATGAAGTAACTGCGGTGCGTGCCTGGCCGCAGGACGCCCTCGGCTGGACGGTGGTTGACATCCAGGCTGACGACAAGGAGGGCCAATAGCCGAGATATGGGGAGATATGGGGAGATATGGGGAGATATGGGGAGACATCGAGGCTGACGACAAGGAGGGCCAATAGCCGCTACGAGCCGAGATCAGCCGAGATTCGCACCTGAGATCAGCCGAGATCGGCCGAGATTCGCACCTGAGATCGGCCGAGATTCGTACCTGAGGGCGTCTCGTCATCTGGCCGAGATTAGCCGAGATTCGCCGAGATTAGCCGAGATTAGCCGAGATTAGACATAGCCCGGCCGTGAGCGGCGCTTGGCGGTGAGGCAAGAAGCACAGCCCGTTCGTTTTCTTTTCTGCCCTAGGACGACATCTCAGAGGGCGTGATCCGCGAAAAGCTGAAGAAGGCGCCGGGCGCTGTATACGGCCCTCGCATGGACCGGTCGAATGGCGTTGGACTCGTTGCTGATGTCACCTCAGGCGCCCCCCCCCCCCCCC